AGAATCTTACTAAATTTTCAACATAATCCAAACTCAGTTCTAACACTTATTACTTCTTATTCAAGCTTATGACAAGTCAAATCCATCTTCCAAATTTATTTATCTCTTCTTATTCAAATTTTACTTAAAAACTCCTTACCTTCAATCGTCCATAACTTAGTATCCTTTGGATTTTAAACTACTTTAAACCTTCCTTAATTTTTCCTAACCTTTCCAGAATCTAAAGCATATCTAATTTACAAAAAATGTTCAACTGAAGGAGTTCTTACTTTACTAAATGGCTCACAAAGAAGAAGAAGGAGAAAAGGATGAAGAATAGAGAAATTTATGGAGAAGAAATCCCATAAAATGTCTTTCCACATGTTATAAAATCCCATAGCTAAATTTTTAATTCATTTCCTTGCTAAAAGACCTTTTTACCCTTTCAGTTTTCATTCATTTGATATTCATCCTACACAAAATATTTTAATTAAGTCCTTAAATATTTTAATTTATCTAATTTAGTCACTGAATTCTAAAATCTCATAATTTGATCACTAACCCGATGTTTGGGATGCTACAAATTAGCTTTTTGGGTTTTACCTGGAACTATCGTTAATTTGCAAAGGGTTTATCAATGATAGCTGCCTCGATGACTAAGTTTCTTCAGAAGGGTGTACAGTTTGTGTGGGGTGAGAAGCAATAAAGGAACTTAGAATAGTTAAAAGTTATTCTAACTCAAGCCCCGATCTCAACCCAACCTGATTCATGGAAAGACTTCACCGTGTTTAGTGATGGCTCCCTAAATAAGCTTGTTTATATTTTGATACAAGAAGGAAAAGTGGTAGCATATACATCTCGTTAACTTAAGCTCCATGAGAAGAACTACCTCACCCATGATTTAGCTTGCAGTAGTAGTTTTTCCGCTCAAGATTTGGATGCACTACCTTTTTGGTGAGAAGTGCCACATCTTCACTAATCATAAAAGACTTAAGTACCTGCTTACACAGAAAGAGTTGAATTTGAGACAACGCAGATGGGTCGAGTTGTTAAAAGACTATAATTGTGTGATCAACTACTACCCTAGAAAATCAAGCGTTGTTACTAACGCTTTCAACAGAAAATTCATGTCAGATTTGATAGCTCTGTTAGAACGTTTGAGCTTATCTAGTGATGATGGGTTATTGGTTGAGCTGAGTGTGGAACCCGAGTTAGTAAGTGAGGTTAAGAAGTTACAAAGTTCTAACAATAACCAAAGGGCTCGCGTGGATCAAGTCCATCAAGGTAAGGCCCCGGGTTTTGAGTTATCCGATGAGGATGTACTTTTCTTTATGGTTCATTTCTATGTGCACGCAGATAAACAGTTCCATAGTAAGATTCTCCATGAAGCACATTGTAGTCCACTCTCAATTAATCCATGTAGTAATAAGATGTACTAAGAACTCTGACCATTGTATTGGTGGTTAGGCATGAAGAGGAAAGTATCTAAGTTCGTTCCTAGATTTTTAGTATGTTAGCAAGTAAAGGTGGAACACTAGGTTCCTTTAGGGTTACTCCAATTTATTAAGATCCCACAGTGGAAGTGGGATAGAGTGACGATGTATTTCATGGTGGGGTTACCAATGAATAGGAAGAGGCATGATGCGCTGTGGGTTATAGTTGACATTTTGACCAAAATAACCCACTTTCTACCGATACATATGGATTACACCTTTGTACATCTGTGAGATTATGAGGTTACTTGGAGTCTCAACATCTTAGCACCGCCTTCCATCCTCATACAGATAGCCATTCCGAGCAGCTTATTCAAATTCTAGAAAACATGCTTAGGTGCACAAATATAGACCTTAAGGGTAGTTGGGAGGACCATTTACCATTAGTAGAGTTCGCATATAAAAATAGCTACTAGTTTAGTATCCAAATGAATCTGTACAATGCTTTATATGGAAGCAAGTGCAGGGCTTTTCTTTGTTGGATAGAGCTTAGTGAAGGAAAAGTAGTGGGCCCAGATTTTCTTAGAGAAATCAAAGAGAAAGTTTGATTGATTTTAAAATGGTTAAATGAAGCTTCTGACAGAAAAAGGTCGTATGCGGAGTTGAAACATAAAGATATCGATTTTACCATAGGAGACAAGTTGTTCCTCAAGGTGTCTCCGTGAAAGAAGGTACTTTAGTTTAGATACAAAGATAAGTTAACTCTACGTTTCATAAGACCATATGAAGTACTCAAGAGGATCGAACTCAGCTTACCGATTGGTCTTACCCCTAGAATTGGAGTATATCCACAACATGTTCCATGTGTCTATACTTAGGAGGTACCGTTCTGACCTCTCCCATATTACACCATTAGAAAATATTGAAGTGGGCCAAGATATGACATATGAATAAGAGCCATTAAGAGCTTGGCAAAGGATGTGAAATAACTAAGGACAAAAGGATTACCTAGTGAAGATTTTGTGGATTAGCCATGGCACCGATGAGGTAACTTGGGAAATCGAGGAGGATATGCAACTTCAGTACCCACATCTCTTATATCCAGGTAAATTTTCGAGGATGAAATTTTGTATTAGGTGGGGATAGTTGTAATATCCCAAATCTTAGGTTAGAAGTTTTGTGTTAACTTGAGATAGTTTAGACGAGCCCATGTACCTTGTAGGAGAGCTAGACCCATTTGGAGTATAGATTGGGCTTGGTTTAAGGTCTATTTGATTTTAAAAATGGCATTTTTAATCTTAGGATAAAATTTAAAGGACTAAAAGAGCAATTAGAACAATTTTTAAAACAAAAGCTTAAAACCCATTAATTTGGGTGATCTCACGTCTACTCCTCTCTTTTTCACCAAACTATACCTTTGTCTTCTTCCCTTCTTCTTCATCATTCCCTTCCTCTCCAAGAACTAAGAAAAGGTCAAAACTTTGTAGCACTACAAGCTTTGTATGGGTTTGCAAGGGTAAGAATCTTCATCTCCATCTTTAAAGGTTCAAATTAAGCCTCCAAACTCAAGGTTCGAGCCATGGTGGTTAAAAATGGGTTGTAGTGGTGGTTTAAGAAACCAAAAGTTTTCAGCTAGTTTTTACTAGATTTAAGTGTTAAGAAGTTTCCTTCACTTTAATCCAAGCTTCTAGATGAATTAGTAACTCATTTATCTTGTTTGTGAATATTGAAAAGGTGGGAGAAGTCTCCAAGACTAAAGGAAAGGATAAATTAGCGCTTGGTTGATTTAAGGATGTTTCCAGTAGCTAGGGAACTAAGGTAACAAATTCACAACTCTTTCATACCACTTGTGAGTCATTAGAATGCATCTAGCGAGAGAGCCTTGAGTTGTGAAGTATAATTGAACATTCATGGTAAATTCAAGTAATTGGTATTTCTAGCATGTTTAAAGACCTATTATTATCCTTTCTTACATACATAAGATTTTAAGAACACTTGGGTACCTCAATAGAGAACTTGGACTAGTTTAAAGAGTCATTTTTGTGCCCAAATAGGGCATTTCCAGGTTCTAGATCGGTACTAGAAGAATAGTATCGATATTGTTGGTATAGTTTCGATACTCATAGGGTGGTATTGATACCGAGTGCACTTAGCTGATTCCAGTAGGCCTTTTTGGTATCGGTAATCATGGGAGTATCGATACTGAGGGTAAAGTATCGATACTCTCAATAGGAGTATCGATACCGAGGTATTTTTCAAAACATCGAAGTAAAATTTGGTATTGATACCCTAGCTCGAGAGTATCAATACTGGTCCAAAAATATTGATATTACCCACCCTTCTCACCTTGTAATAATCGTATGGTATTGACGAGTATGGGTACCATCATACATTATTGGGTAAGTAACCCAAGGAACTTAAAAATAATATTGATGAACCCAAAACAACAAAACACCATCTAATAAAACTACAACTGATAACCATTGATAATATACAATTACAGCTAGAAACAATATCAACTAGGACGACATAAAACTAGAGTTGATTGATGCTTGAGAAACGGTCAGGACACTCGAGTTACTCTAGAAGATGACGATAATTTTGAGGTATAGAATGTTTGGATATCTTTATGCAAGTGTGCAAGGCACTTTGAGACTAACAAGAGCGTAAGGCACGAACACTCGCGAGGGGTGGGTTAGTCGAGTGTTATGTCCGATGTAAAGATTCTAGACATCACGCTTGGTAGACTAGAGGGGTGTGTGTCCCGAAATGTGTAACCCTCCGACCACACCATGATGTCTACCATAGAGTAGTGTGTAGTATACGAGTATACTCACTTTCTTTATTGCACTTGATAGCATGAGCATTTATGGAACACTTTTAGTGTGGTTTTCTAATAACCCAATTATTGTAATTATTGAGGGCCACAAATTATGAGATATTTTAAAGAAAAGTTAGATTTTAAAATGGATAATGAGGATAATGGGAAACCAAGCTCAAACCGACACTTTCTATGGTTGAAGGCAAGTTGCCATTTCTTGAAAAATCTAGCATGTTTCTAAGTCGATAGTCGACATGTGAGTCTATGGGATCCACACAATAATTTCACTTATAGATACAAAAAGAAAGGGTTTCGTTCCAACATTCTATAAATAACTTAGTTTCATCCGTTTAACTCTCTATCCACCACCATTTGGGTTTGACCAAGCATCTTATCTAAGGTTCTTCACTTCCATTAAAGCTTCAATCCTTGGTTCTTCATCGTAATCACTTGGTAGTTTCATACCAAGTTTCCATTAAAATGGCACCACATGGAGATGCTATTACTACTAGCAGAGTCTACCTTTTTGACAAAATATAAAAGAGATTCAATTTCAGTATGGGTTCTATTATTAGATTTGTTTGTATTGTAAATTTAGGGTTTTGACTAACAAATGTGGCCGAACTCAACCAGCTCATCGTGCTCATGGTTCATAAAATACGGGTTTAGCAAAAGTAATCCACACCCAACATTCTCTATCTATCTCTTTCTCGGCTATTCTTGGAAAAGAAAACAACTCCTCTGGGTCGTCTTCTTTGGTTTCTCACATGGCTTCACTTGAAGAAATCGGTCGGGAGAACCATACTATAAGCGGCTGCAATGAGATAGAAGATGATCCAGAACGTGATGAATTCATGGAATCATATTGTGAGGTTCTTTATAGATGCAAAGAGGAACTCGCTAAGCCGTTCGATGAAGCTTTCTTGCTTCACTTTGAGAGCATGGTAAAGCTTAAAAAAAATTGAATATATATTAAATGTGTTGAAGTAGAAAATTAAGCATTTGTACATAGCACACGTGAATTTGGAATCTGTGATAAAGTGAGAAGGGAAAAATTCTAAGTGAGTCATCCAATTTTGGTAAAATATAACATGGTCTTCTAGTTTCCAAATTTTTATGATTATGGCATGATGGTTTTATTAAGATCAATTTAGTCCCTAATTATAGTAATTAAAAATTATATTAACTCCTAAAGTTTTTAGTTTTAACAATTGTGTCCTCAAATTAGTAATTAGATTCGAATAAGTTATTTTTATGGCGGAGAAAATTATTTAAAGTAGTATTTGTACGATAGATTGTCTGTGTTTGTTAGAAAAAATATTGGAAGCTAGACATCAAGTTGGTGAGCTGGAATTCAAGGGTAATATTTTGGGTTTGTTGACGACCTGAGTCCGATTTCGATGTCCGTTTCACCAAATTCGAACACGGTAAGTTATTTTCACTGATTTATCACCCGATTCGATCCATTTTTCAGAATTATGCTCCGTTTTTGATGAATCTTATATTGTTATGTATTTGAGGAATTATTGGAAGTTGATTTCAAGATCGAGGACGTTCGAATAGAATTTATATGGTCAATCAGTATGGCACGGAAATTTAGGTAATACTTTACTGCCTCTTTATGCTTTATGGATCATGTGAATATTGGTAAATGCATGAATAAGATATTATTGGTCTCATATGTGTAGTTAATTAATTTCTACACTCGATCTGAATACGATAAAAAAATTCGGTAAATGATTATGGTTCATATGACTTTTATAAGAAATTGATGGATTGTTAGAATTAAAATTACAAGTTCTGTGTTTAGCGATAAATGAATCAGCTTGGATCTGTAACATATAATTTATTTCATCAAAGGTACTTGGATGAGAATACTCCGATAGGGTAAATTACGTAAATACCCTTATGTTGTAAAAAGATAAGATTTGACCATATAAGTTAGATAAAGGATTTTTTAAAGACATGTTGATCCGATAAAATTTCAGATGTGCATAAGAAATGCTAATTTTGTTTAGAAAATTTGGATATCTGGTTTTTAACCCTAAGGTGGTTTGTACAAGATACTAGAAGTTGTTAAGAGAATCATTTCAAGAGCAGAGAATGTTCAAGAAAGCAATTAATCATAGGATCTCTATATTATAATTATTTTTGTTAAGAGTTAATACCGTTGGAAGATCTATTCAGTGATGATTATGGGGATGATCTATGGATCTGCATTATGGTATTAAAAAGTGAATACACTGGAAGGATAATAAATTAACTTGTTGACATGCATCAGTTTAGGAGTTGTGTAACTGGAGTTATTTGATAATACGATCGATAGTCATAGATTGTAAATGACTTGAATCTTCGATTCTATATTTCATCTAAAATCACTTCGGTCATGTTTGAAAAAGCAAGTAATGCAGAAGGAAAAGATTCTGAATACCTCATTTGGTTCAATTGGGCTGAAATCCTATGAATTCAAAGTATATTCCTGAATACCCCTGATTGTTTGGGTAATGGAATCAATCGCAATAAATCTGAATTTAGAATTATTATGCATAAAGGTTCCTGAACGTTTTTTCCTAATGCACATGAAAATATAATGGGATTCTAAAGTATCAACCTTAAATATTTGGCTAGATCGGTTAGTAATCGATTCTCCTCAATAGGACCTTGTTCCTAGAATTCGATCAAATTTCATAAGTTTCATGTTATCCATAATGATAACTACAATGGCCTCTGAAAATACTTGGATTCTCTAGTGTGTTCCCCATTTATTACTGAACTGTTTTATTTGTTTTAAAATGAGGTACACTGAATTCTATGGCTCCTGTTTTATTGATGCATCAATTTATTGTGATGTTTTATGGATTAAGACGACTATCTGATTTTTGGTTTGAACTGGTATTTGATTACCATGTATGTGGATTTATGGAATTTATATCACGGTGCAATTGTATTTTTGATACGGATTTATAAAGTACAGCTCTGATCAAGCTGGAAAACTTTGACGGACCTAATGTGACTCTTGGGTAGGCTCACGGGCCCCAAGATGTTCCATTAGGTTGGCTCCCTTTTGCTGTGTGCTTAGGGTAAGCCCTATGGACTTACGGACTTAAGGATACAGGCCCCAAAGCCTATCCTTAGGTTGGCTTCCTTTTCGCTGTGTGCTTAAGGTAAGCCCTATGGAAGCAGTTCTAGGAACTGCGGATGGTGTACAAGAGAATGGTTTAAACTACAAGTTTCAAAAGTTAAATTTCATTATGATTTTATGAGATTTACTGAACTATCATTTGATAAGTGTACCTATTATGATTTTATTATACTGTTGGAACACACTAGACATCCTATTCGATCTCCTGAAAATGTCATACTTTGAAAGGTTTCTTATGAACTGAGATTCATAGCTTCTACTCGATGAACTTCTAAGAAAACCCCAAATTATTTCGTAAACTGGTATACGTATGATTCAATAAGGAAATTATATGGCTTTCCATTTATCTACATGTCATGTAGCATCATCTGGTAGTTCTGTATTACTGAGCTTTCCGAAGCTCACTCTATTACTCAACATTGTAGGTTAAAAGAATTGTACCAATGCATCTATCGAATTCAGTAAGGGAGCTCTTCCGGCGTTTTTTGCAGAGTATGGTACATGTGATTAGGGGGCATGTAATTGTATTTTGATTTATATACGAGTCTGGAAATCTGTTTTATTTCTGCATACTGATAAATCATTTTATAAGTTACATGTTTAATAAAAAATTTAAATTTTCCGCTATTTTTACGGTAGGCCGCTCCGATGGCCCTAATGTGACACTCCAGATCGGATCGGGTTATCCACATCGGTCTGAGGGGGTTACATTTAGTGGTATCAGAGCTATGGTTAAGTCAAATTTTTGAAGATAAACCGGCCGATCGAATTTCAAAAAGATGTCTGATCAATACATGCCCCTAGACTACATTCGTATTTCTCTGAGCCGGAACTCCAAGGTTGAGTCCCTATCTGTAATGAGTAAACCTAAGTTTTCATCCGTTAGGACTCTATCGTTTTATAAAGGAATACCAGTAACGTCTGTATAAATTCTGTAGAGTATCACACGAGCCATGTGAGAGTTTCTCATCTGAGAAATTTTGATTCAACTCCAAAAATGAAATTGAGATATGTTATCGCTCTATGAGCTTATTCTGGTAACTAAAGCTGAATTGATTCTATAAGGATAAATATATTCTGATTCTTTTATTGGAAAGAGAGCGAGTTTTGAAAAAACAAATGTATACCCAACTGGTTAAGGATTAAGAGAGTATCGATACTTCTGTAAAAGCTACTGAAAGATATGAAAGAACTGATAGAAATTTCATTTATGCAATTCTGTGACATGAATGAATTTCGAAAACGAAATTCTTTTAAGGAGGGAAGAATTGTAGAAACCCAATTATTGTAATTATTGAGGGCCACAAATTATGAGATATTTTAAAGAAAATTTAGATTTTAAAATGGATAATGAGGATAATGGGAAACCAAGCTCAAACCGACACTTTCTATGGTTGAAGGCAAGTTGCCATTTCTTGAAAAATCTAGCATGTTTCTAAGTCGATAGTCGACATGTGAGTCTATGGGATCCACACAATAATTTCACTTATCAGATACAAAAAGAAAGGGTTCCGTTCCAACATTCTATAAATAACTTAGTTTCATCCGTTTAACTCTCTATCCACCACCATTTGGGTTTGACCAAGCATCTTATCTAAGGTTCTTCACTTCCATTAAAGCTTCAATCCTTGGTTCTTCATCGTAATCACTTGGTAGTTTCATACCAAGTTTCCATTAAAATGGCACCACATGGAGATGCTATTACTACTAGCAGAGTCTACCTTTTTGACAAAATATAAAAGAGATTCAATTTCAGTGTGGGTTCTATTACTAGATTTGTTTGTATTGTAAATTCAGGGTTTTGACAAACAAACGTGGTCGAACTCAACCACTCATCGTGCTCATGGTTCATGAAATACGGGTTTAGCAAAAGTAATCCACACCCAACATTCTCTATCTATCTCTTTCTCGGCTATTCTTGGAAAAGAAAGCAACTCCTTTGGGTCGTCTTCTTTGGTTTCTCACATGGCTTCACTTCTTGAAGAAATCGGTCGGGAGAACCATACTATAAGCGGCTGCAATGAGATAGAAGCTGATCCAGAACGTGATGAATTCATGGAATCATATTGTGAGGTTCTTTATAGATGCAAAGAGGAACTCGCTAAGCCGTTCGATGAAGCTTTCTTGCTTCACTTTGAGAGCATGGTAAAGCTTAAAAAAAATTGAATATATATTAAATGTGTTGAAGTAGAAAATTAAGCATTTGTACAGAGCACACGTGAATTTGGAATCTGTGATAAAGTGAGAAGGGAAAAATTCTAAGTGATTCATCCAAGTTTGGTAAAAGATAACATGGTCTTCTAGTTTCCAAATTGTTATGATTATGGCATGATGGTTTTATTAAGATCAATTTAGTCCCTAATTGTAGTAATTAAAAATTATATTGACTCCTAAAGTTTTTAGTTTTAACAATTGTGTCCTCAAATTAGTAATTAGATTCGAATAAGTTATTTTTATGGCGGAGAAAATTATTTAAAGTCGTATTTGTACGATAGATTGTCCGTGTTCGTTAGAAAAAATATTGGAAGCTAGAAATCAAGTTGGTGAGCTGGAATTCAAGGGTAATATTTTGGGTTTGTTGACGACCTGAGTCCGATTTCGAAGTCCGTTTCACCAAATTCAAACACGGTAAGTTGTTTTCACTAATTTATCAACCGATTCGATCCATTTTTCGGAATTAAGCTCTGTTTTTTATGAAATTTATATTGTTATGTATTTGAGGAATTATTGGAAGTTGATTTCAAGATCGAGGACGTTCGAATGGAATTTATATGATCAATTAGTATGACACGGAAATTTAGGTAATACTTTACTACCTCTTTATGCTTGATGAATCATGTGAATATTGGTAAATGCATGAATAAGATATTATTGGTCTCATATGTGTAGTTAATTAATTTCTACACTCGATCTGAATACGATAAAAAAATTCGGTAAATGATTATGGTTCATATGACTTTTATAAGAAATTGATGGATTGTTAGAATTAAAATTACAAGTTCTGTGTTTAGTGATAAATGAATCAGCTTGGATCTGTAACATATAATTTATTTCATCAAAGGTACTTGGATGAGAATACTCCAGTAGGGTAAATTACGTAAATACCCTTATGTTGTAAAAAGACAATATTTAACCATAGAAGTTGGATAAAGGATTTTTTAAAGACATATTGATCCGATAAAATTTCAGATGTGCATAAGAAATGCTAATTTTGTTTAGAAAATTTGGATATCTGGTTTTTAACCCCAAGGTGGTTTGTACAAGATACTAGAAGTTGTTAAGAGAATCATTTCAAGAGCAGAGAATGTTCAAGAAAGCAATTAATCATAGGATCTCTATATTATAATTATTTTTGTTAAAAGTTAATACCGAAATTATCTGGTTAAGAAATTACAAAAATGCCCTTGAGAGGTAAAATAGTTCGAGTTGACCCTGAATGAGAAAATACTTTGAGGATTCATACTTAACTCGATTAAGTACGAATTTAATTGTTGAGATTCTATTTTTTGTATGGAAAATTACTGATAATTCGTTACTAACATCTGAGAAGGCATTCAACCTGGAAATCACCGAATTGAGTAAGTACATGATGAATATTTTATAGATGCTGCTCTTTTGTCAGAATTGTTTGAAATGACTGAAGTAAATGATAAGTTTGGATTAAATAATAAGTTTGGACGGAAGGAAATGAATGAAATACCCTAGATCTGTAAAATGACCACAATACCCTTAAAATGGAAATGAATCAAGAATGTCACCAAGCTAAGGAATGAATGGATATACTCAAGCTTTGAAATGAATAGAAAAATGTTGAGCACCAAAATGACCAAAATACCCTTATTGCCTAGAATAAGTAAATGTCTTGGATTAATTAAGAAATCCAAATAATCATAGATGTTGTGTTACCAGTAAAAGTTATGGAACGCAGTTTAAGTGATCAACCAACGCTAGTGCTATATCATTACCTGAATGATATAGATACCACTTGAATGTTTGTTCGTCTTCTCAAATTTGGATCGATGATAATTCTGAAAGTACTAATAAGTGGGTATTCGTGAGACAATTCAACCACGAATACCAGAATGACTTTATTATATGACTAAATTGAACTTAAAGGAAATATAACATGTATTTGAAATTCAGAAACGTCTGAATTATTTTGGAAAACTCTAAAGTAACCGGGATAGACTTGCTTACTAAACGAACTAAGTAAACTCAATGACTAAGGATTAATTAGGTGAGTGGATGACTTTGGAAACACTGTTGAACTTACATGATGAATTGTCCTTATGGGTTATGAACCATGAATCAAGTACGTCCGTATTTCCTGATATCATTGAAACATGGAAATGAAATAAAGACCGTTGGAAGATCTATTCAGTGATGATTATGGGGATGATCTATGGATCTACATTATGGTATTAAAGAGTGAATACAGTGGAAGCATAATAAATTGACTTGTTGACATGCATCAGTTTAGGAGTTGTGTAACTGGAGTTGTTTGATAATACGATCGATAGTCATAGATTGTAAATGGCTTGAATCTTCGATTCTATATTTCATCTAAAATCACTTCGGTCATGTTTGAAAAAGCAAGTAACACAGAAGGAAAAGATTCTGAATACCTCATTTGGTTCAATTGGGCTGAAATCCTATGAATTCAAAGTATATTCCTGAATACCCCTGATTGTTTGGGTAATGGAATCACTCGCAGTAAATCTGAATTTAGAATTATTGTGTATAAAGGTTCCTTAACGTTTTTCCTAATGCATAAAAAAATATAGTGGGATTCTAAAGTATCAACCTTAAATGTCTAGCTAGATCGGTTAGTAATCGATTCTCCTCAATAGGACCTTGTTCCTGGAATTCGATCAAATTTCATAAGTTTCATGTTATCCATAATGATAACTATAATGGCCTCTGAAAATACTTGGATTCTCTAGTGTGTTCCCTATTTATTACTGAACTGTTTTATTTATTTTAAAATATGGTACACTGAATTCTATGGCTCCTGTTTTATTGATGCACCAATTTTTTGTGATATTTTATGGATTAAGACGGCTATCTGATTTTTGGTTTGAACTGGTATTTGATTACCATGTATATGGATTTATGGAATTTATGTCACGGTGCAATTGTATTTTTGATACGGATTTATAAAGTACAGCTCTGATCAAGCTCGAAAACTTTGACGAACCTAATGTGACTCTTGGGTAGGCTCACGGGCCCCAATATGTTCCATTAGGTTGGCTCCCTTTTGCTGTGTGCTTAAGGTAAGCCCTATGGACGCAGTTCTAGGAACTGCGGATGGTGTACAAGAGAATGGTTTAAACTACAAGTTTCAAAAGTTAAATTTCATTATGATTTTATGAGATTTATTGAACTATCATTTGATAAGTGTACCTATTATGATTTTATTATACTGTTGGAACACACTAGACATCCTATTCGATCTCTTGAAAATGTCATACTTTGAAAGGTTTCTTATGAACTGAGATTCATAGCTTCTACTCGATGAACTTCTAAGGGAACCCCAAATCATTCCGCAAACTGGTATACGTATGATTCAATAAGGAAATTATATGGCTTTCCATTTATCTACATGTCATGTAGCATCATCTGGTAGTTCTGTATTACTGAGCTTTCCGAAGCTTACTCTATTACTCAACATTGCATGTTAAAAGAATTGTACCAGTGCATCTATCGAATTCAGTAAGGGAGCTCTTGCAGCATTGTTTGCAGAGTATGGTACATGTGATTAGGGGGCATGTAATTGTATTTTGATTTATATACGAGTCTGGAAATCTGTTTTATTTCTGCATACTGATAAATCATTTTATAAGTTACATGTTTAATAAAAATTTTAAATTTTCCTCTATTTTTACGGTAGACCGCTCCGATGGCCCTAATGTGACACTCCAGATCGGATCGGGTTATCCGCATCGGTCTGAGGGGGTTACAGGTTTAGTTGTTAGTGTGGCACTAGGATAGTGAGCTCAACGTTCGAAATTTGTTTCCATGAGTAGGTCCTTTGGAGGAGCTATCGCGCAATTGACGTTCTAGACAGTTCGAGCAATAGCAGAGTCCATCTTGGGTCTTTTGTCTAGAGGGCATGTATTATTCATAGACCTTCTTGTACTTGAGTCGTGACTTTATTTTAAGTGTTCTATTGTACTATTTAGATACACTTATTTTGGGAGCTCCCCGATGTAAACTCTATTTATTTATGTTTGATTTATTTTATTTTATTTCAAATGGTTTTAAATTATGATTTACAAAGGTTCTTAAAGAAAATTTTTGGGTTAGTCACTCCGATAGTCTCGTGTGACATTTTAATCGGTCGACTTTATGTCGTATTAGATTAAGGTGTTATAACAATCACGAACTAAGCACATATCATCATCATATTCATTCTCAATTCGAGATTTTTAGTATCTTAGGTCATTGCGAAAAAAGAATATTTAAATTTTTTAAGTACGAATACCTTATACTAGATTTACAGTTTTAGAAATAAAATATAATTTAATGACCATCAAAATATTGTTACAAACATGTTAATAATGGTTAAGTATTAATGAAATAGTGATGTGTGAAGAGACAATAATAGTTTTTATATAAACTTACAGAGTTTATAAATTTAGTCAGAATTCAAAATAATGCAATAAATATAGCTTTTCATATTTAAATATTTTAAATTTAGTCTTTGTTTTTTCCTTAAATTATTTATTTTTCTTCCAAAAATATTATATTACTTTCCGAGTATTATAACAATTTAACAGTAACTAGTTTTTACTTTATGGTAGAGCACAATTATTTAACTATTGTTTTGATTCACATTTGGTTTATTAATATCGCAAAAGAAAAGATTAAATTGATTGAATTCTTAAATATAAAAGATTAAATTTATTGATTTTTTTGAATTAGAAGCAAATTAATATAAGGTACCAGTTTTGGAGAGTAAACTCATTATTATACCATACCACATTAGAGGTTTATTTCAATTTTAATGATAGAATGACATGTTTGTAACAATACTTTAATTGAGTGACTAATTTATAACTTTAACAAAAAAATAACTTATTTATAAACTAACTAATAATTGAATAATTTGAAATGTATTTTACTTGGGGATGACAATGGGCAAATTAGGGTTGGGTTTTTTGTCA